TCACCCTGCTGCCCTTCTCTATCATCAGCAACGAGGTGCTGCTCTCCTTCCCCCAGAACTACTACATCCAGTGGCTGAACGGGTCCCTCATCCACGGTGGGTGTGCAGGGTGGTCTTGGGGTGCCCCGAGGGCTGTGGGTCAGGGTTGCTCCCCCACAAAAGCTCACCCCACACCTTCCCCTCTTGCAGGCCTCTGGAACTTGGTCTTCCTCTTCTCCAATCTGTCCCTCGTCTTCCTCATGCCCTTCGCCTACTTCTTCACTGAGTCAGAGGGCTTTGCGGGGTCCAAGAAGGTAGGTGGCCCTGTGGGTGTCCCCGCTGTGTCCCCTCCCTGTCCCCGGCTCCTTGCTAACCCCTCTCCCACAGGGCATCATGGCCAGGGTGTATGAGACCTCGGTGGTGCTGCTGCTGCTGACGCTGCTGGTGCTGGGCATGGTCTGGGTGGCCTCTGCCATCGTCAGCGACGATGCGGCCAGCCGGCAGTCGCTCTACGGTGAGAGCTGCTGGGGGGTGCTGGGGCAGGATCAGACCCTGGTGCTGAAGGAGAGAAGGGCTGCTCGGTGCCACTGGCCTGACCCTGCCGTCTCCACAGATCTCTGGGAATACTACCTGCCCTACCTCTACTCCTGCATCTCGCTCTTTGGTGTGCTGCTGCTGCTGCGTGAGTCGTAGGATGTTCCCCTGAGGTGCCCCAGTCCTGGGGTCCACCCTTCACTGGGTGCTGGTCCCTCCGGGTGCTCGGCTGGGAGCAGAGGCTGTTCCTTGCAAAGGGTGCAGGAGTGCAGGGCTGAGCCCCCAGTCCCTATCCAGGACCCTTCTGGGGGTGCAGGGAGGGGTAGAATGCTGGGGCACCCCCTGCTCAGTCTCTCCTCCCACCGCAGTGTGCACCCCCTTTGGCCTCTCCACCATGTTCACTGTCACAGGGAAGCTGCTGGTGAAACCTCGGGTAAGGTGTCCCCCTCCGGGTCCCCCACCCCGGAGGCTGCCTGGTCCCCCACCTCAGGCACCTGGTGCCATTCACAATCCCCTTACCCCATCCCCAGCTCCTGGCAGGCCTGGATGA